ATCTGGAATACTGATTCCTCTGATCGCAGTTCAGATTTCTGAGCACCAGTCCGTCTCAGAGGCCACAGAGCTCAGAGAACTCAATACTTCCTTTGGAAAAGTTGAACTGAAGGCTTGTCTTTGCACTGTAAAGCTGAGTGACGTTTGTGGGAACAGATACATATTGTAGTGCTTAAAAAGTCATTCCTTACCCATGTGCTTAATGTGCCTAATCCCCTGTTCATGGGCTTCAATCAGTTGTGATGAAAGACAGCTCTTGACTCGGTGATGTCTGAGGGGTTGAAACTCACAGCTGTCCACCCCAAGCCAGCGACACAAGGATGGTTCTGCAGATTTCTTGAAATCGTTTCCTGATATCATTACGTTTCTGTTAGCAGGTTAAACTGCTCTTCCCACTGCAGAGGCTGGCACCCTGGAGTGATAAAATTATTTTGATAAGCATTGTGACCAAACAGCAGCTTACAGTCATTTTCTTTACGGCACATTCTGCTGCTGCGCACAAATGTCCCAATACCTGAGACATTTGCTCAACTACCCCAGTTCTTCCTGCCTCACTTATTGTTTTGCTGTGACACCTCGCATTGTGGATCGACATGAAGAAATTTATTAGTTATTTAGATACTGATTTAAAAGCACCACACCATTTCATACTTTTCCTTTTTTAAAGGCACAGTGTGTAGGATTTTGTTAATTCTTTTGGCTGAAATTGAGATAATCACTAATGACAATAATAAAAAACRTGTCTAATCATTGCAGACAAAGACCTTGTTTTATTATTTTTACCTTATAAAAAGCTGTTTATATCTCCATGGTCGTGGGTGGCCATTACAGGCAGCCGCCATCTTGGACCGCCATCTTGTCTACGAAGGCTCATGAAGGACAAACTGCGGTGGCGGCGTCAAAAACGGTTTTAGTTGTAATACTATACACTCACCGGCCACTTTGTTAGGTACACCACGCTAGTAACGCGTTGGACCCCCTTTTGCCTTCAGAACTGCCTCAATTCTTCGTGGCATAGATTCAACAAGGTGCTGGAAGCATTCCTCAGAGATTTTGGTCCATRTTGACATGATGGCATCACACAGTTGCCGCAGATTTGTCGACTGCACATCCATGATGCGAATCTCCCGTTCCACCACATCCCAAAGATGCTCTATTGGATTGAGATCTGGTGACTGTGGAGGCCATTWGAGTACAGTGAACTCATTGTCATGTTCAAGAAACCGGTCTGAGATGATTCCAGCTTTATGACATGGCGCATTATCCTGCTGAAAGTAGCCATCAGATGTTGGGTACATTGTGGTCATAAAGGGATGGACATGGTCAGCAACAATACTCAGGTAGGCTGTGGCGTTGCAACGATGCTCAATTGGTACCAAGGGGCCCAAAGAGTGCCAAGAAAAGATTCCCCACACCATGACACCACCACCACCAGCCTGAACCGTTGATCCAAGGCAGGATGGATCCATGCTTTCATGTTGTTGACGCCAAATTCTGACCCTACCATCYGAATGTCGCAGCAGAAATCGAGACTCATCAGACCAGGCAATGTTTTTCCAATCTTCTCTTTTCCAATTTCGATGAGCTTGTGCAAATTGTAGCCTCAGTCTCCTGTTCTTAGCTGAAAGGAGTGGCACCCGGTGTGGTCTTCTGCTGCTGAAGCCCATCTGCCTCAAAGTTCGACATGTTGTGTGTTCAGAGATGCTCTTCTGCCTACCTTGGTTGTAACGGGTGGTTATTTGAGTCACTGTTGCCTTTCTATCAGCTCGAACCAGTCTGCCCATTCTCCTCTGAMCTCTGGCATCAACAAGGCATTTCCGCCCACAGGACTGCCACTCACTGGATGTTTTTTCTTTTACGGACCATTCTCTGTAAACCCTAGAGATGGTTGTGCGTGAAAATCCCAGTAGATCAGCAGTTTCTGAAATACTCAGACCAGCCCTTCTGGCACCAACAACCATGCCACGTTCAAAGGCACTCAAATCACCTTTCTTCCCCATACTGATGCTCGGTTTGAACTGCAGGAGATTGTCTTGACCATGTCTACATGCCTAAATGCACTGAGTTGCCGCCATGTGATTGGCTGATTAGAAATTAAGTGTTAACGAGCAGTTGGACAGGTGTACCTAATAAGGTGGCCGGTGAGTGTAAATGTAATATTTGTTGTGTGTCATTGTAGCTGGGATAATTTTACTTATTAAAGCTCATAATCTTACCACTTGAAACATCACTAGCCCTGAAGCTGCTGGTAGACATCGCGGTTGGAATTATCAAAGGTTTTTGACACCTGAGAGACACCGTAGCAACTCCTTTGTGTTTGGAAACAGGGGGTGGGGGTGGGGGGAGGACCAGGGAGGATGATTCAACCACTCAACCACTAGATGTCGCTGTAAACAACAAATCCTACATACTGTGCCTTAAGTATTGATTCTAATAAACTATTGTGTAACTATTGTTATGTCTTGATTAAAATAGTTTCAGTTACATGCTTGAAACACATAACAACACATATAAAACCGTGTGACTCAGCTGTAGGCCTGTAGGGGACGTGCCAGACACTGAAGAGCTATGTTAAAATGAGCGGCACTTCCAGTTTTCCGGCAGCGCTGATTTTTGCTTGAGCCGTGAGCAGTAAAACCGTCGTTCAGAATCCATTACTGGTTTTGTATGGTCCATTCTCTTCACATTTTAATCTATTCAACGTTCACAGGCCTCTTGCAGACCTTGGGCTGAACCAAAACAAACAGACAAGAGCTCTGCTCTGAGCAGACTCTCTGCAAAACACCGACAACTTCTTACTTCTGTAATAATAATAATGAGTTGAGCTTATAATGTATCTTTTTTCCTGGTTCCACCCTTGGAGGTGTTACCTTTTACATCAGATGACAGAACATAACTTATTTTGTTTAGACTAAAGAAAGAACACTTGATAAGACACACACCAACTCTTTGTCTGTTTTAACCTTACAGACTGAAATGATCAGAATGTATAAAATACAAAACTGATTCTAATATTCAGTTAATCAGTTACAGAATTTTCTTCAATCACTTATGAAGGTATCTGGTGATTAAACATTTCAGTGATTTATCTTATATATTTACCCAATTTCCCTCTTGGATCAATAAAGTATTTTTGAATTGAATTGAATATTTGTTGTTCAGTTTAGTTAGTTTAGTTTCATCTTTGATCGTGGAAGCCTCAATCTTTTGTGAGCGATGCTTTCATTCCAAATCAAGTTTAAAATCACCAAATAACAGCATCAAACTGAAGTATTATCATTAATAATACTAATAGTATGATCCTAAATCATGTTAGGCCTTAAGTGGAGGGAAGGTTTATTTGGAACACAAGAGAAATATGCTGATTCATGATTAATACGAGAGATGACTCTTTAAAAACTCTTTAAAAGGATCCAGATCTTGACGAGCTGTTTGTTTCATAGAGCCGTTCCAAAGAGACGTTTGATTTTGAACGAGTTACATCCTCACATAGGGGTATACATCATCACCTACGCCATATGTGATAGTGTCATTATGTCATGTGGGCTGCTGTACTCCACCCCTCTGCCTGTTTTCTGTGAAAAAATGAAAGTTGAGCGATTGACCCTGTGGTTAAGGAGGAAAAAGTAAATTAATATGAGGATTAATAAAATACTACAAACAACTTTTTACTGCCTGGACTCGGTTCATATTAAAGAGATCACATGTGAACGTCACATTGGATTCATTCAATAAACTGTAAGTCAAGTCATTTTTTTTCCATTTGCATTGCATATTTAGTTCATATAAATGTGTCACTGACCTGGCTCTGTTTGGTGTAGGAATGGGTCTTTGAAAGAGCAGCACTGTGATGTAAACTGTGGCTCATATCTTAGTAAAATGGTTTACATCAGGTCTGCAGCGTTGCCAAAGCACTTAAGATGATGAACAACGATGAAGAAGAGCTGACAGCAACTTTGACAAGGGAAGGGCCCACACACACAGAGAAACACATCATCCACTTGTAAAACTCCAAAACGGGTCTGTGTGTAGATAAGGGATGAAAATACAACAGAAATTATTTTTAAAAAATGGTGAAACAAACTGATAATATTCGAAGTGATTAGCAGGTTCAGGTTGTAACAAAGAGGAAATAACAAACCCCATCCAAACCCACAGGAACTGTCTGTATGAGTTTGACCTGGTTAAATTCAGGGAATAACATCCAGCCGACCAGTTTCTTTTGGGCAGACACAGTTTTTTATCAGCTGCTGTTTTTGCAGAAAGGCAAAAGGAAGTAGTTGTACTTCCTGCTTCCTTTGGATCTCTGTGTAGGACACAAATTGTGACACTTGTTTCCTTGTTTCCTCACTCACTGCTGCTTTTGCTCTTGTTCCTTTTCTTCCATCTGGACTTTTTGTCTCTATCCTGTCTCTGTGTAAGTTACAAATGTTTGTTTTGAATTTGCATTAGTTTTTTTTAATTTGACTTGTCTTTCCTTTTAATTATGGTAATCAGTGTCTATTTCTATTTCTTTTGGCCAAAGCCTTTTTCTGGTATCACTGAAGTTCCTTTAATCAGAATGTGGTGGCGTTTGTTACATCATCATGCTGGTGGCTGACGTCCAAACCTTTAAAGATGCAAGAACTGTTAGGAGAGACTCTCACATCTCTGCTGATAGTACTCTTCTTGGGGTTTGTTTTGTTACATGTGCTACCAATAAGCAGTGGTTACCAGCATTTTGGTTTGCTTTAGTACCGTGGAAATCAGCTTGTCTGCACTTAGATGATAGTCACTATAATTTGATTTATTTTGGGGCGTTTCTATAAAAGTGACGTGCTCTTGTGCAAATCAAAGAGTTCTTTAATCCTTCAGGGGGCAGAAGTTTCTTGTTGACGCACTGTAAACATTTACCATTTTATCTGTCAGTATCTAAAGCCTTTTCCTTTCAGATGCCGTTAATTAAAACCTCATGACGGTGTTTTAAGAACTGCATGTTTGCGTTTATTTGTGTGTTGCAGACAGAGTGTGCCAACTTCGTTCGTCTTCTGCAGCCTTACAACCGCACCCACCTGCTGGCCTGTGGCACCGGCGCCTTCAAGCCCATGTGTGCCTTCATCTATGTGGGCCACAGAGGAGAGGTACGGTGATGTGTTCGTGTGTCCTGTATTTCACCTTATTATCCATTTAAAGATAATGTACTTGCATAAAAACAAAAATGAACTGTTTTATGCATGTTCAAAGTTGCAAAACCTGTTTTAGCACATGCATACTGGACTATTACTATATATATGATTTATAGATGGCATAGCTTTACTTGGACTGCCCTTCTTGTTTTTATAAACTTCAACTATAAATTTTAGTGAGAACAGAAAATGTCAAAACTGGGGAGCATTTTTAAAGCTTTTCGTTTGAAGTTTTAGTTATTTCATAGCTCCCTCCAAAACATAACAGGAACATTTAAAATGAGGTGAGACATTTCAAACAAATACATAGTGGCAAATGCTTTCTGGCAATACCAAGCTAACATCATGAATCTTTGAAGAAGAAGAAAAAAAATCTCTTTAATCAGTTCAACTGGCAGCATTTATACAGTCCCCATGACTTGTTAGTTTAAGGTGTTTTCACACTGGCCAAAATTCCTGCTGACACCTGAACATCTGGTGTTTGAGAACACAGAAAAAAAATGTCATGGCCTTGAAAGGGCTGCAGATGTGCTCCACACTTGTTTTGGTGTTTGATAAAATGTCTGTGATTAAACGGATGTAAATCTTTGGCTTGCTCTGTTTAGTCTGTCTCTGCAGTGCAGTTTAGCTCATGTCCAGTTGGCGTTAGAAAGCTAAACCTCTAAGTTAATAAAAATGACTGAGCATCTTTTTTTTTTTTTGATAATCACTGCCCAGACTGGCTGGGGTCTGACTACAAACCACAGGGGTCTCAACATGCAGCCATCAAACTTTTTTTTTTTTTAGTGCTGCTTACCCTCATTATACATCTTTTCAACTGCGCAGGCCGGCTCTCCTCACACTCATTCAGCTCACTGCGACCCTCTACAGACTCCCACAGTTGTTGCCATTTAAAGTACAATAATCCATGAATGGGGCCATTAAGAACAAACTCCTACGTTTCTGTTTCAAGGCAGTTCCTCAGGCCTTTGCCGGATCTGCCGTCCTGCCTGGCCCAGCAGGAGGGGGTCAAAATCTACATTTAGTAAGGGGCAAGCTGATATTGGCAGAGCTGTGTGAAAGAAAGAAGTGTAACAGAAGAGTGCCAACCATTTAGAAGTGTTTGTAGTGATTTATGCGCACAAGTAAAGGGAACCACATTCCGGCATTTTTTCATTTTTTTCCTCATATCTTTTAGGCGGTCATGGCTGTGTGTGTTCTTTGTTTTCTGTCATTTTCTGTTTCCCTCTCAGGCTGTTAGATGTGGCTTTTGTGGGTTTTATTGAACATCATGAAAAAACAATATTTACTCTTATTTTGTCCTTCACCTCTCCTCATTTTTGGTTTTTAAGTCCACTTTTAAAAGCATGTTAGGTACAAGAACTAAACAAAGAGGGGGGAAAGCAGCCAAAATCCCAGAGGTCTATAGCTAGTTGAAAT